AATGGAAGAAGCCAAAAGAAAATCCAGGAAGGAAAAGAGGAAACAAAGAAAGACAATAAGTAGTCCAGCTCAAACAGTCCCAAAATTGTATATGAGAGTTGATAGGAAATTCAAGGCTTACTCGAGGGCCAAGAGAGAACCACAATACGGCACCTTGGGGCCACCAGAAGGCCAAGCCCTATATCGGCGTTAACCTAGGCCGTCAGATATAGAGGTCTACGAGGACCCTGAGGCAACAACCCAATGCCAAAAAGACCGACAACAAGATACCTAGGTTAGATCCCATCTTGAGCGTTAACCCACAGTGGAGATAAGAGCGTTGAGGAAAAGTCAGGAAGGACGACAACCAAGAAGAGATCAATGACGAAAGAGGGTAGTGAAGCCAATGGGAGGGGTGGAAAGAGGAGATGAACAAAAGGAAGAGGAGGGAGAGGGAGAGGGAGAGGGAGAGAGAGGGGGAGGGGAGAGAGTTCCCTCTCCCTCCAAACTACACCTAAACTCTCAGAATAAACAAAAGAAATGGGTTACATCTAAACTCCTAGAATAAGCAAAAGAAAAATGTCAAAAAGAAGGAGAAAAGAAGCACAAGAGGAAGAACAAAAGATGGAAAAGATAAAAGGGAGGGGTAGGGGAAGATAACATAAAAGAGAGAAGATATTAAAAAGATATAACTGAGCTAAAAACAAAAGGGAGCACAGATAAGGTGACTCACAGAGTCGCTAGATCTGACCTATCGGTGTCAAGATTTGGCCCACATGGGATAAATCTTGGCTCAAAGGAAACTACTGGTTGAGGCAGCTGCTGCAGGTGGTGGCTTTCTCTCTAGGCTGAGGGGGTAGCTGCAACTAGCGGTGGCTACTGTTGGTGATCCCAATAAAAAATTGGGTCAAATCGACGGATTGGTGACCCAGATCGGAGAATCGGTTGGAATGGTAGGTTTCAATTTTTAACATAAATTCAAAAAATAGTGAAATGTTATTAAAAATCAAATTTTTTAAATTTACCAAAAAAATGGATATTGCATTATGGATTTTCATTATTTTGCCAAAAATATGTAAATGATGAGAGCTTCTTTCATAAATGAGTGTTTGTTGATTATTAAATTCATTTTATAGTCGAAATCTAGTTTAAAATACACTATAACTCCTACTTTTTCAATTTTGTATTTTTATAATCTCCAGTGCCATTTACGCTAGTAAAGATAAGGGGTCTTGCTTACTTATTTTTTTGCTTTTGCCCTTTCATCAAAATTTTATTTATTTAATTAATTATTTATTTTTTCATATTTTATTAATATTTTATCTCACTCGAGGTGCCATATTTAATTCATCTCTCTAGGGCTATTATATTTGCTTATATTTGCATTTAATATATATCTCATTATTTGCTTGAAAATGTCTATTTCATCTGTTCTCCATTGATTTATCATATAATTTTTTTCTTGAGTTGGATCATTTTCTTCTTCAAAATATTAGCCTTTCAGTAAATATTTTGAATTCAAGTATAAAAAATCTAGAATTCTACTAAGATAAATTGAGATTTGGTAGAAAAATGCATTTGATTTTAGCCTAATGGAATGTCTCTCATTTTTAATAAGAAAATACAAAATTCTTATTAAAGGTGAGAGATATTGAGCCACTTAAAGGCTAATAAAAAAAAACAAAGTTCTTATTAAAGGTAAGAGATATTGGGCTTTTTGGGTCTTTTATATATAAATATAAACCTAATATCTCTCACCTTTAATAAGAGATGTTGGGTCATTTAATACTATTGGTATTTGTGGTGCTGAAAATTTTACCTCCAAGAAAAAAAAAAAAAAAAAGAAGAAAAAAAAAAAAAAAGAACTTTGCATCAGAAAAAATGAAAAATGAATGAGCGAGAACCAAAAACAGACAGATGAAAATGCTTTATCCCACTTCGGGGATATAGCCAAGAAATGAAACCTATATGGCATAAATAAATCTCGCATGTGTCTTATAGTGTGGATGGGTAAGGTACCCTATGCGATGACACGGTGGGCCCAAGTAAATAAAAATATTTTAAATTTTTTATCAAAATGAATATGATATTGCCCGGTTCACATGGCCCAAAAGCAATTTAACCAGCTTAATCGATAAATAGGCGAAAACACATTCAAGTGAAGTTGAAAATTAATGAAAAGAAATAAATTTTAACGCAACTATTTATGCTTAGGGGCATATTTTAAATTTTCTGAAAAAAGTAGGTAAAATAAAAGTGAGTATGAATGACCAAAACAAATTTTAATATTTAACATAATGAAAAGAATATTAAAAATACGTTACAAACCAAATACCTTATTTTGGAGAATTTATATATTTGTTTTGAATTTTTTTTTTGTAAATACCGGTCAATCACCAAAACCGCCCAAAATCAGAATCGGCCACTGGCTGATTCCAATGGTTTTTCGAACAGTGTTCCTGATGTATTGGGGGAATCAAAACAGTCACTTTGATCCTTGATCCGGATTGGGTGACTCTTATCCATATCACTAATTTTTTAAATCTTCATTAAACTTCAATTATCATTATCATCTCAGCTTTATCTCAATTGTTTATTTTTTAAGCCTTAAAAGGAAGTATACAAAATTATATAGCAAAAATTTCCCAGTCTACACGACAAAGATAATCCCCTCAAAGAATAAAAGAATATAAGGAAATTACAAAAATTCCTTTTTACCAAACTTTCTTTACAACCTACTCCCAACCAAATTTTTTATCACAACATTAATCCTAAAACAAACTTTTCTAGCAAATACCCTTAAAAAAATTGTAGTTTTTAGGACCAAAATGCCTTCACTCTCTTCTAACACCGACTACTTAGGTTTTTCAATAACACATAAAAAGGCGGTCCGACAATACAAACAAGCGGTTTGGCAATACGCCCATGCGGTCTGGCACTGCCAAAGAGCGGTCCGGCAATAGGCCCATGCAGTTCAGCAACGAGCCCAAAGTGCAGTCCAACAATGTCAAAGAGCGATCCGACGCTTTTTTTAGTTTAACGGGTCCGACATCCTATGTAACTTTTGGTACATGCATAAGCCCATATGAATATCGGGCCAAAATTGATTTTCTATGTATCTTTTTTACTTGGGGAGCATTTACTAAGAAAATATATTTTGGGGCAAAAGTAAAAAAAAAAGGTTTTGTTGGAGGTAAGTTGCATAAGAAGGGAGAGTTATTTGTAATTTCTCCAATAATATATTGTCGTCAAATACGAGTACAAATGTTGACTTGGTCTTCGGTTTTAATGAGAAATTGCTCGTTGTACTTTGTTTTCTCCATTGACTTTTGTAGATTGGATGTGGAGAGAGAGGGAAGGGAAGAGAGAGTATATGTGTCGCAACAATTATTAAAAAGTAAAAATTGTTTTAGGAGAGTAAACACACATTCTACTCTCAAATAAAATATAATAAGATTTTTAAAATATCAAAATTTGTTTTCTTTTTTTCGGATTCATTATTGTGTTGGTTGAGATGATAATCAGGTGATGTTTTCGACCTTGGAATATGGATTTTGGAAGAGCGATACATTGAACATTATTATTTCAAAATATAAATTATATAAATTAATTCTTAATTTTTTTTACAAGAAAGTCATAATGAATTGTGAAATGAGTGCCTTATTTTAAGAAAGATAAATTGTGACATTTTTGTACCAAATATTTTTTTATGAGCAAGTAAAAGGTAAAATCAGTAGGGATTTGGTGAGAATGAAGTCGAAGTCTTCATCAAAAGACTCGGTAGTACTACTACCAAAGTCTCATCCATACTCAAAGTTTTGGTACAAACTATTGTTTAAAGATTTGGACTAATGGATTGAATCAATTAGCCACAATTTTTAGCCTGATAAGTGGACTAGGAGAGCGGACTAGGAGAGCTGGTTCAATACATAAAAAATTGTTTCATGCGGCGGGGATCGCATTTCTATATTTGCAGTCCCCGAGGTACAAATCATCCATCTTAAAAATAGATGCAAATAGGTGGTTTATCTAAAAATAATTGAAACTAATAATTCAAATATTTTCTTAATATAATTATTATTTTTAATTTTTAAATTTTACTTATGTTTTCATATTCATGATCTCCATGTTATAGATTGTATGTCCTTAAAAACTAAGTCCCAAAATCCATCCCAAAAATAGATTTTTAAGAGTTGACTCATTTTTATATGGATTCATAAAAAAGGTGTCTTTAACATATTTAAAAATTTTAAAGAAGATTTGAGATTCTCAAATAACATATCTCATAAAAAAATGTTTTTATGGTGAATAGGTCCAAGTCCATGGGATTCGAATAGGGCCACGGCCGGTCCTCAACAATCTATACAAATTTCTAAAATGGATGCGTAAATTATGCTCCCACTAGTGGATATTGTGCATCTACTCCCTCACTCAAAAAAACTTGATAGGATTTATCTCCATAAGCCCTATCATTCTCGGAGCCTCTCTGCCCCAAAACCCTCTCTCTCTCTCTATCTTGTCTCTCTCCCCCAACCCCCCATTTTCTCTCTCTAGTCTACTGCTCTTTGATACAGACAACCTCGTTCTATCCAAATTTTCATGGTAGATTTTCCGTTGATTTTTCAAGTGTAATGGAGCAGCACACATAGTCTTCACAAGTCTCCATTAATGGAGGACAATATATCTAGAGAGATATGAGGTGCTCTAAAATTTAGAGGGGTTCAGGTATGGCCCAATAACTTAGTGGCAAGGTCAAGAGTCCTCTTTAGGTTTGAGAATATGATCGTTTTTCATCAAATGTCGTTAGGCTTGAGAATATGATTGTTTTCCATCAAAGACATTTTGTTCGTGTTCTCTAATTTCTGTATTTCTTCAACTGGTTTGCCAAAACCTCACCCTTCATTCACGAACCATTTAGAGAGAGAGGAAGAAGAAAGCACCAAATTGGTCACAAGACACCAGTGGTTCCTTGTCCATACCGTTTTTTATAATCTCCAAGGTAAGGGCCAAAAATCTCGGAGTCAATGGCATTTATGGTCTTCACCTTCTTTGGCCCCGGCCATCTTCACCTCCAAATCCACAATCACCTCCCTCTTCATCTGATTCAGGGCCTCTGATATCTCCGCCCTCACCGCGTTCATCACGGTTGCAGCTTGCTCCTCTTTCACCTCCTTTGACGTATCTCTCACACTGTTCATAAGGAGCAGTAATTCGCCAGTGATGGCGATGATGGGGAGAGTGAGATTAAAGTTGAAGATTATAGCTTTCTCCATTTCAATGAGGCCAGGACCAGTAGAGGTCGGTGCTGCTAACATGGCAACCCTGCTAGTTTTAGTGAATGGGTTTTTTAATGGAAATTATCTTTCGCATCAAACGGTGTTGAGGGGGTTGTAAGAAACCTTTTTTAAAACTTTAATGCCGCAAGATAGGTTTCAAAGTTCAGGGGATACTGGGAAACTGTTCTAAAAAATAGGGTCTACCGAAATATTTTGATAACCACCTAAGAATCGCTAAATCACTATTTTTAAAAGTAAAAAAATTGTATTTTGAGTTATTTGATACTTAAATATAGTCCTTAAAAATTAGACAGTTCTTGTTCAACCTTGAAATATTTTTTTTTTTTTTTTTAGCACATAGATAGTTCAGTTCATAAGTTCATTTATTTATTTATTTATTTTTACCGAGGTTAGTACGTGGGTTGAAGAGATTATATTCCCAAAATTTCCTATATTGGGTTTTTACCTTAAGGAGAAATGTACAATATACTCCTGTAAGAGTATAAAATCTTTTGACTTTTAAAACACACGACCAAACTATATCTCACGGGGTACAAATCCTCTTACAAATCCCATGTTAAATACTTACTAACCACGTATGTTATGCTCCCTCGGGAGACAGTTTACTTCTGCTCCCTCGCTCATAAGACCTACTTTGGGAGATTTTTTTAATCTTAAAATTTAAGAACAGGGAGATTTTTTTTAATCTTAAAATTTAAGAACCACTTATGATTTACAAGATCGTTATTCTCAAAAAAAAAAATTAAAATTTGAGATTTCTAACACTTAGATCTCACCGTCTAAAAACCGGATGGTTTCTATTTAATCTCGAGATATTATTTTTTTCAAAGGTAAAATTAAAAAAATTTCTTATTGACATTAATATATGGGTTGAAAAATTTAAATACCAAAATTTGACGTCCTAAAATTAGTTGTAGATGGAGATTTGCCCGCGGGAACTAATGAACATTTTACTCTTGCGGGAGTACAATATTTTCCGGCATACAACTCTCGAGGGATACGAAGAGGAGGGGTATTTTCGTCAAATCATTTAGTTTATAATTCCCGCGCGAACAATGTGTTCCCCAATCCATTTTCTCTCTCCTCTCTCTATCTAAGTATAAATAGTCTCCCTCCCTTCTCTCTCTTCTCTCCTCTCTATCTCTCTAAGAATAAATCGCCCTCCTTTTTCCCTCCCTTCTCTCTTCTCTCCTCTCTTTAATTCCATCCTGTCTACTTTCTCTCTCTAGAATATAAATGACCCTCTTTTCTCTCTCCTCTCCTATAATTCTATTTCTAAACTAAATGCTGTCTTGTCTACTCTCTCTCTCTAGAATATAAATGGCCCCTCTTTTCTCTCTCCTCTCCTATAATTCTATTTCTAAACTAAATGCTGTCTTGTCTCCTTTCTCTCTCTAAGCGTCTCCAACAACTTCCTCTTAACTTACATTGCATTTGACCCTCAGAAATCTCGTTTGTTGTCCGATGAATGCGCGTCTCGCTCTCCTCTAAACACCCGGTCTTCACGCCCAAACCAAACCCTAACCCTAGAATTCAAGGTCGCCTACTCACCACCACAACGCGCGCTTCAGGTGATTGTTTCATGCCAGATTAATTTTGATCAAGACCCTAGAATTCCAGTTGTTTGAGCGTCATTGGAGGGAAATCTGTTGAAAACCTGGGTTTCGCAGTGAGTTCATCATTCACAAAATTTGTAACGGTAGAATTGTGATCAAAAGCTTGAATTCCAGGCTATTTTTGCAGGACCTGGACCTCACGTTCAGGTGATTGTGTTTTTGGGTATGTTTTGGTAGAATTGATATGCTGGCCCTGGATTTCTAGTTGAATTTGCAGCAATTGGGTGGCGGTTTCAAAAACCTAGATTTTACAGTCAAGCTTTTTGTAGTAAAGGTCAGGAAAAAGATTGTGAGTGATTGGAGAAAAGTCTTAGTGCCACAATTATGTTTTCTATTTTATGATGAAGGAGTTATGGATTGGATGGTTATGTTGTTGAATTTGGAGTTGAAGGGGCCTTTTTCATGAGAAATAATAGTACAAAAGGCAAATGATTTCAAGGAGGCTCATCCGCTTCCTTATTTTGAGTCTACAATGAAAAGCTTTCTTAACTTGTAGTCAAAAGGATCATTGATCATTCCAAATGTTTGGAAAACCACATAAGCTGCGGATTCTCTCCCATTTCATGGTATTGAATGGGAGGAATTCATAGGGTTTGTCTCAGCTTTTGAAATTTGTAGTTCAGGTGAAATATATCTAAATATTATTGTGAGATATCTCTTGAGTAGTTCAAATGGTTTAAAGAGCCTGGAAATTGTGGATAATTGTGAATATTTGATACTTTTTGGGCCATATATTGAAATTTACCAAGGACCATGCATTTTATTTAAGAAATTCGAGTTCGAGCAATCGCCGGAGGAGACCAAGGGGGTGGAATACCCCCCTAATCAGACGAAATGGTCGGAGTGACGGAGATTGTGTTTGAGCTTCTTGTTCCTTCTTGGTGGGAGATTAAGGTCTCATTAACTGCTGCTTTGTTTGTCATCATCATCTACTATTTATTCACGAGCTTATCTTCACATGAAGGACAGGAAGCAGGTGATGGATCTGGGGTGAGAGACCTGCTTCTTCGTCCTATTACCTCGGATGATAAAGGCAAGGAGGTAAGTTCTATTTAATGATATTTCTATTATGTGATTTTCCTGTCTTTGAGATGTTCTGATTGTTGAACTTCACAAACATTAAGAAGTTTGTGGTTCTAGTACTTATTTTATTAGTTATCTAGTGGAAGAGGCCAAAGTTTGAGAGACTGTGCTATCTGGTTATATGCTGATACTATCTGTACATCAATGTCATCTAACACTTTGAGGAACACTAGGAAATTCTCAAGGAGTTATTTGATGTCAATGAACTCACTCGGAAACCAACACACTAAGGTACTTGAATCCAGACATTATGATAAGCCTACAAGAAACAAAATATTGGTCTGTGTCGTGGCCATGAATACTGACCGTCTTCAAAAAACTTCATGAATGCTGATAAGTTTGTGGGATTCAAATAATAGCAGTGGATTTCTAGTTAAGAGTTCTGGAGTACCACCTCTTGTCATTTTGTTCACTTGTTTCCTGTGAGGTGATGTATGATGGATGTTCTTCTTTTTTTGGGGCCTAGCCTCTCTGTGTTTACATTTTTTTCAATAGAAGGTTATATTCCTTGGAATTCTATGCCATTTTGCCTTGTAAGGGGATTCCTCACACCAATAAGGTACCGATACTCCAAAATGGTTGCCATATTTGTGCTAGTTGCGTAGGAGCTTAGAAACATGCGCAGAATAGCAAAACAGATGGTATAGCTATGTCAATCATATGCATGCATCACTGTCTCACGATCTTAAAGGCCATGCATGATCAGTGCATGGCTATACCCTTCTATGATCTGTGGTTGAAGAGTTAAATATGTCAGTGATCCTCAAAAAAGATTGCGAGTTATTCAAAGATAGTTGCTGTTGCCCCTTCGCTCCCCTCCCCATATGGGAGCCATGGAAGCTGTTGAGAGATGTTTAGGTTTTCTAGTTGGGAACCTTATGTGAGTTTTGGATGAGAATTTGGGGTTTGGAAATTCTGATGTCAGTCTCTGTCAGAGTGGGATAGCAAATAATCTGTGTGGAAGCTTGCCATTAATAAGAAGATAAAGGACAAAGTGGGGAGCTAAAAAAAGCTAAAAGAGGGAAACTAAAAAGCAAGACACTTCATTAAGTTATGATAAGAAGTGGGACGCATAAGTGTGAAGTGGCAGCTTCTATTCTTTGTAAACATGGATCAGGTGCTTTCTAGTCGCTTATTTGTTTGATTGGCAAGGCTGATGCTTTTCTATACCAACATTGGCATTTTTGTTGAGATGGATTAGTTTATGCTTCTACTTGCTGCCTTGAAAGCGAATACTTAGACATACAATTTCAAACTAATTTTTATACTTTTCTTTATTTATTATGGTATGTTAAGACTTTCTAGATATTACATCCTAATAAAAGAACTTTGAATTAGCGACCAGTCTGCAGCGATTACTATTATGTTGTGTTTTTGTTTTTGTATTTGTAGTTCAGTTTTGACAATAATTAACTTTATAGTCTCATGCTTCGCATTCACAATTGTGTTTTTGTTCATTTGCTTCATATTTTCTGATGCACCATTTTGCATTACATGGTAGATTGGCCTATTGAGAGTAGACTCTGGAGGTCCATTCTTTTATCTCATTAAGGTACTTCTTCACCTTTTGTGGTTTGTTTCAGATTCATGTTTTTGATATCAAAGTTCTTGGCATTTAGTGAAACACACTTACAGTCTTTACAATATGGTTTTAAGTTGTATCCATACAGTCCATTTGACATTTGTTTGTGTTTCTTTGTTACTGATTAATTTGTTTTTGTTTATATCATTTCAGTTGGAACTGTTGGCTGCCAAGAACCTGATTGGTGCAAATATAAATGGGACCTCTGATCCTTATGCTATGATTACTTGTGGCTCGCAAAAACGATTTAGGTGATTGCATTTTGGAATATCCATTGTTTTCAGAATCAAATGTGTATTGTTGGCCAATTTATACTACTTGATTTACCTGTGTACATATCGTAATCTATAAAAATGTATTGTTGGGGCAGTCAGTGTAAAGAGATTTGGAAAAATTTCATATAGAACCCTAATTGCTCATATTATTTCATGGCAGACCCTCTTTCCGTTTTTCTTTCAAGCGGCATAAGAAAATCTTTAAGGATTTCACCGTACCCCCTCATTTCTTATCTCCCTCTTTTATTGACTTTTGACAATAAAAATTAGCCCCAACAAATCTTTTTATACTATTTCATTCCAAAA